TGTCTACACAACACACACAACCCTGCTGTTCTTCAGGCTACTGTGGGAGCCATGTGAGTAAGCTGCGCACACTCTGCTACGTTAACCAGATCTACAGGACATTTGTCCAGTTAAACACCTGAACCACCCTTTTAAGTTGCCTCTTTTAGCTACAAAACATATTATCCAAACCAATTACCCCATTATTCATCAGGGCATGACAGAAAAAAAACAACTTTTCCATTTTTGGTTTTTGTTCGCCTAATCCAAACCAAAACACTAAAGGGTAAACTAGCCGACATTTACTAAGATAATTGCTGTTTGTAAAGTGTACAGTACAATAGCTATACAGATTATGCCAATCCTTCATGACTCTGTTACCTTTTCATAATGTAATCACAAAGCCTGTTTGGATCTTAATAGTTTTGCAGGATTTAGAATACATGGGAGCCTACCATTTGGGAATGTATCCCTATGGTCCCAGGTTCAACAACTCTGTTGAGCTTGTGAGAAAAACAGGGATAGAGGATGTTTCTTCTCATTGTCTGTGAACTGATTCCAATTAAGATGGGAATCGTGAATGCCCCTCTGCTGAACATGCTTTAACTTTCCCATTCATTTTTTGTTCTGGCTTCTTTCAACATCTAATTTTACATGTGCAGCAGTGCCCTCCATCCCCATCTATATCAAAGGCAATGCTTTCCGCAGCTCCTCTGCTCCACAATGCCATCGTTGATTCCCACCAATCCCAGTCCCCATATGGGATATGCCTCCTCCCCGGCAAAAAGTGAACCACACACAGTCAGTTTTAACTTGGATGATGCAATTCTTGGGTAATGTGTGTCCAATTGCATAGCAGATTGCCTATCTTTATAAAGTTAACCCACAGAGCCATCTTTGGTTTCTGTGTACATAAGCGTGATAACATAGATGATAGAGGCTGATGTGGATAATATGCAGTCTGGACACAATTACTTTACATCTTGCTCTAGAATTTAAATAATACATTAACTTAAGAGCAGGACTACAGCTCACTAGAAGATCTGTAATGATAGCTTTGACTGGGATAAATAATGTTTTTCCAATCGCTAAAACACATTCATAAGGGTTGGTGTACTGGGCGTCTTCTACAGCTTTCTGCTGAGGTGAACACCTACTGGCCTCCACCATCAATCACTGCCTTCAAGAACACCACCCAGAAGTCCACACCCAATTTATGGAAGTCTCACAACACATTCAACCACACAGCTTATGCATGTGTTAGTCTATGCTTGCAGTGAAATTCTCTAAGTTCATAAAGTATATGAGATGCCCATTTGTTCCCACATCTCTCAGCAAAATGCAATGACTTCACACTCTGTTAACATCACGACAGAATATTTTTTGCTGCAGCACTGTATGAGACTCCTGTGTAGTGTTATTGTTTCCTGCAGTGTGCCACACTATATATGCATTTTTCTTACTTTGGTGTCTGCTTACTCCCCCACCCTCTTAACCCCTCTTCCTCAATCAATCCCCTACAAAAGCCTGCCACAGGCAGCGATATCCACCAACATCATCCCTCATGCTTTGCCATGTTCCCGCAAAGCCAAGGAAACAGCAGCATATACGGGAGCTGATCTGCAGGGAAAGCAGGAGGGAAATGGAGGGAGGGAAGGAGGAGTGGGATTGAATGGGGAAGCATTGAGTGGAAGGATGGGGAGGGGGTATTCTTTGGGAAGGGAGCCAATCCAATTACAAGCAGTGGTGCAGCCCTGGTTTCTTTGGCGGCACAAAATTCACATTTCGACGGTCTCCTCCTCCCTCCCCTAGTACCTTCTTGCTTCTTCTTCTAAAGATGCCTATTCCTGCTACTCTGTTTCCTATTTTTTGCTCATCGTGGCTCACACTCACATCCTGTAATCGTGCATCCCTATGTAACACCCCCCCCCCCCTTTCCCCATCTGTCTGTCTTTCTTGGATGCATGAAAGAGCTGGAGGTATAGCACTGTATCACCAGCAAAGCAACAAATCTTGTCACCCTAGCTGTGTCATGCTCAGATCTGCAGGAAGCCTCCAGCATCCTACTCCATGTAGGTGTCTCATGCAACTCTGTAGGAGCTTATCATCCCTCTGCAGAGGAAACTGTAGCTCATACTCTTTAGGTCACCCAATCCCTCTGCCCTCCCTGTGTCACGGCATGGCAGGGCAGGCTGGGAGAAGGGTGGTGTGGAGGGGATAGCCAGGGTGTTGAATAACATTCAGTGTAAACAATGCATACTTCGGACAGACTGATTATTCTTAATTACTAATTAGTCATTATACATGAAAACAGCTTTTTTTAAGCTGCTGCAAATTGCTACAGGGGAATCCCAATTCTCTGTCATTCTCCCAGCAGTCAGAGCTTGTACATTGTTGATCATTTGCGTTCATGCAAATCATCACGTTTCACTATCCAACAGCACATCTGCTTGCAAATTTCTGCACAGCAGAAGAGTGCATATATTCTGACGCGATCAAAAGCAAATTAGGTTCAATTAAAGTCCTCCAAACTTACTTTGACAGCAAGACCACACTAAAACACAACCTTTTATTTAGCAGTAAAAACCTGAGTTAACAACGCAAAATGCAATTTAAGTTTTGGGAATGTCACAGAAATATACAATTAATATTTCATTATGGCAGACATTTTGATTTCTACACTTAATATAATCTCGTGCTGAGTTCATTCACATTACTGAGAATATTTTAACAGAGTTAAACTTTTTCCACTATTTTCTCATTTCAGCCACCTCATAGTAAGAAGATTATTATAATCATAAATATTAAGACAACACATCATTTGAACTTTCTAATGTGCTCTGTTAGTGAAACCATATTCTGTGTGTCATGGGATCATTCTCTGTGGGTGACTGCTTGCTTTTTTTATATTCTGACCATTGGACCGTGGTACCTTTTGTCTAGGTGCGCTTCTCATATCCTGATTAATTCCTGCCCCACCTTAGCGTTACTGTGGTTACAGTCACGCCTCTGTATGTAGTCACACAGATGCACAGAAGGCTATTTTGCATGGATTTGGAAACAGAGTAAGGACATAGCAGAGGGAAATGGGTGATTGCGAGCGGCAGGTACAGACAAGAGTGTGGAGTTGACATTATTTAAAGCTCAAACTGGTGCTTAAGTCAAATAAATATTCTCTACACAACAGCCTGATTAGTAAATTGATTTAATAATGGAAAAATGAAGACCAAAATAACCCACGACACTGACATTTGTGTTCCACTCCTGACATTTGTGATCTCGGAATGACACTGAGACAGTCAGCCCAATGAGAGAAGCAAGGTCAATAAATCTATCAATATCCTTCAACTAGCTGTCTAATTGCAGTCTGGACACGAGACAAAGGACAACTATGATAGGCCTACCCGAAAACTCAAATTTCAACCAAAGCCATGCATACATATAGTAGGCTATATCACACAATATTACCAGACAGGTAACTACATTTTGGCGCCTGAGAATGGGGGACTGTGTATAGCAACACTTACAATTGTTTAGTGGTTAGTAGTACACTATTTATGTTTAAGTTAAAGCTGAGAGTCTGTATATTAAACCTATATGCATTACATTGGTGTAACATATACTTTTTATAAAAATATATATAGCTAATCAGCTGTTTGGGGGAATGTCAGTGTCACACACCAGTGCAAGAGCTGTTTGAAAACAATCAATAAAATCATAGATGTGTCTGACTGACAATCAAACCCCGAGCGGCACTTAACAGCACTTCTCCTCTGCACTATTTATTCCAGCTAGTCAAAAGTTTAATCTCATGCCTGATTTAGACTTCTGAGCCGGTAATGTAACCTACATAAGTGGCCAACATCATTGCTGACATTTATACTAATGCATGTGACATTACACGTTAATTACCACGCAGTTGTCTCCCAGTGTTTTACATGTGGTGCCAACCAGCAGAAACAATTAAAATTTCTTTCTTCTGTTCCTGAATGTTTTTCACTTCTTTGCACATTCTCTCATGTCCATTCCAATAGTTTCACCCATCCTCCTCTAGGAATTTGCCAACATGTGTAAATCCTTTTATTGATGCTATGATTATTATTTCTTATATTGAGATCATGATTCTTATGGGGATAGGTTAATTGGATAATCCAAATTGCCACTAGGAGTGAATGTGAGTGTGAATGGTTGTCTGTCCCTATGTGTTAGCCCTGCGACAGACTGGCGACCCATCCAGGGTGTACCCCGCCTTTCGCCCTATGACAGCTGGGATAGGCTCCAGTGCCCCCCGCGACCCTGAAAAGGATAAGCGGAAGCGAATGGATGGATGGATGGATGGATGGATGGATGGATTCTTATTCTCTCACTGAAAATTCAACAACTGCAGCGAATAGTTATGAGTTGCATTGATGAGACTTGTAGACACATTTCTATGGAGATGCACCGTAAGTTACAATGTAAGGTCTCAGAGGGATTTGCCATTACGGTGCAGCTGTGGTGTAGATTTCCCAGTGAAATATAAATCCACAGTAATACCATGTTTCTTGTAGCTAGGGTGTGAAATCTATTATTATTAACTGGCCAGGAGCCCTTAACCCTCTGTAGCCTTTGTATTCTCTCACCAAGACTAGGAATTTCAGTGCATGGGCTGGCTCTTTCCCTTGGCTCTCAGTGGGCCAAAGCAGAAAGGTGCCTATTAAAATTAATGGTTCAGTGCAGGATACTTAACAGTGCAACACTAGAGCTCATTTAACAAGGAACTGGTAATGACCACTACAGTGAGCTAGCTGTTGCCATTACACCTCCCTGACACTTTGACAGCTGGGATTAAATATTAAGCAGCTATGTTTCCTTGTGACCAACATCCATCTACACAGAAATAGGACCACTTCACAGTGTCAGTCCCCTCTGGACTATTGAGCAGTATAACTCTCTATGTATCACAGTAATAACACAAGCAGAGAACTTATACATGAGACCTTTAACTGCTGGATGAGAAGAGGAAGGGAGTTGGTACTCACCTTCTTCAGGCGTCCACTCTTGGTACCCACAAAAGCTACACAGTAGCCATTGTAGACATAAGAGGTCACAGAAGTCATACGGTCCCGAGTCTCAGTGTAGAGAGTGTGGCCAGTCACTAGTTGAGAGCCGCCAAGTGGCTGGTTGATGTCCAGACCACAGAAGGAGTCATCAATGGGCACGGGCTAAAGACAGAAGAAAAAAAGGTTATGAATTACAAATTAATAACAAGAATGTTTAAAAAATGGTGATCATGATTATCAGGGTAATATGTGACATTAAGCAAAGAATTCCTTAAAATTAAACATACTGTAAGTGCCTTGAGGCAACTATTGTTGTGATTTGGCCCTATATAAATAAAATGTAATTAAAGTGAATTGAATTGTAGGAATAGGAAGTGAAAAAAAATACACCAGAGAAAGACAGACTTACAGGATGAGGCAACAGCAGTAAAGAGAGGCTGAGATACAGAGCATTATAAAACAAGACAGCTCAGTAAGGACCAAAGATGAAGGTGACAGACTGAAACACGAGGGTGATGGCCAAAGTTGTGGAAATAGTGGCAGTGTTAGAGAGTGTTTGAGATGGGCAGATGAGAGAGGTGAGCCTGAGGGAAAGAGGAAGGTCAGAGTGAGGAGGAATTGCTCACGTGAGTCTCTTAGCCAGACAAACGTTTTTCTTTCGGGCACACCAGAAAGAATATGTATCAGCTCCACCCGACTGAGCTCCACCTTGCTCTCACTGTGGCTCATTACCCTGGCCTATCACAACATCACAGCAGAAATACACATATTGCACGATAACAGTGGGCATTAGCGAGCACAATGCGTGATAACTATGCAACATAGAAATGTGCATGTAACCAAAGAAGCACTAATAACATTTACTTATTCACTAGAAAACAACTGCTATAGTGAATTCTCAGTGAATTTAAATTCAGCTCTTAAGGAAAATTTGGGCCTTAAGACAGCTGCTTAGAATGAAAACTTCTTGTTCTTTCAAGATATGAAAATACAGGCAATGAGGAGGAGGTGAATAAGAAGTAAGACAGTGATCTGTCTGGTGTTGAATCAGGTCAGCTGACAGTCACCAAGTATCATTGGCCTCAATGTGCCATGCAGGCTAAAGTGAAATGGCCAGGCAAGCATTACATGTGTATATCCCATAGTCCCTTGCTCACAAACTCTATCTTATTCAAATTCTAAATATATATATCCCCTTTTTACAGCCCCTACTCATTAGTTTTCTTACTCTCACATTTCTCATCCGTCTCCTTTCTATCCCTGCTTCTGTCTTTTTCACTGTCAGAATGGTCTAAGCAGACTGTGTTGAGAATGTGTGGAAGGCAGCTCTGTCTCTCACACAGTGGCTGTACAACCTTTCTACATATATTTTCATGAACAGAGCAATAACGCTGAAGGGGAATAATCGCCTCCGCTTGTATCCTCACGCCCCTCACTTTGTGGCATTTCCTTTTATTCCCTTTGCCCAAAATAGCACAGAGTGCTATGGAGTACTACTGCGGTATTTAAAAAGAAAAAAAACAATCTGGTGAGTTAACATTTTCATGTCTCATGTGGTGATAACATCAAATGTACTGTATGCAATTGTTCTAGGCTTCTCTTAAACACAAGTTGATGACACAGACGGTATGAATCAGATGGGAAAGCTAGCAGCTATCTTGAGGAACAGCCGTGAGTTCCAGACATCGGCTTATCAATATATACTCCCTGAAAATCATGCAGCTATTCCACATATGGTCTGTTGGGCTCCTAACCATTTGGTTCTGATTATATCTAGATTGTTCAGATGATGTATGCTTAGTAGACTTGGCAGACAGCTCAAATCCCCCTGGAGTCCATGTGGTTGAGCTTTCTTGTTCACCTTCTTGCAGATTTTTTTGTTTCATTGTGTTTTTACTGCTGACTTACAATAAATCTCACGAGTAGTGCAGAAATGTAGTTTTCTATACCACTGTTTCAAGAGACAAATTATATGAGACCTAAATTAAACATATGCGATTAATCCTTATTGAACATCTCACAACATGAAATCATATTAATTTTCTGCTGAGAAAATAGCTGCTACCCTGTTTAGATGTGACAGGATATGTGCTCTCAGAGATTTTTCCTCTCAGAGTATATCAAATTTATCAACTCCAGTCCCACTTCGCTTTCACAAGTGGTTAATTAGTTCTAAGGGCATGAGCAAAAAAAGCAAGACTGGAGGATAGTGTGACACATGGACACACAAACACACACACAGTGTGATACAGAAAGAATCCCATCATGGCTCTACTCCATGGGATTGACTACAGAGATGGTGTGAATCTCCAGATGGCAGAAGGCTGGATGGCTGGGTGATAAATCTTTGATTGGCTGCTGTATCTGAATCCCCTGGCTCAGCCTCAGTTCCATTCCCAGCCTCAGCCTTGGCCTGCATGTAACTGAACACAGTAAAATGTCTGCAAGAATGAGAGCTGGGGGTATAATTAAAGTTCTCTGCTTTGAGCTCGCTGGCTACCTGCTGTTTACAACAGACCAGACGAGAGGTACTGAAGCTGCATGTGTAATTTACTCAGAAACCAAGAAAGGTACAGTTAACAGTTAGCTAAAATACACTTGGGTTGGTCTAACCTTGAAGAACCTCACATTGTGATGGATGTCAAACACTAAAAAATACCACACAGAGTCACATAGGAACATACTTAAGAAAAAAAAGAAAGAAAGATGTGAAGCATACAGTATGTGTACTTGAAAGTAGTCACACTACTTAAGTTGAGGATTTAACATCAAGCACACAATGTCAGCATGTTTTGACATATCTGGGTGTTAAATGTATTTGGGACAGGTTATATGAGTTCCACATGCACTGACATCTGTCTTTATAATCCACATTGTACTATGGATTTAGTAGCCAGTCTTGGTCTTAAGGACTGCGTTTTATATATGTGACTGCGGCTAAATATACAATGCTTGGTGCAGTGTAATGCATTACTGGAAATAAATGCCTAAAGAATGAAGGGGGGGGTGCAGCTTTGCAGATAAAAACTAGCAACTATAAACATGCACATACATGATTGGGCAATCTTCTGGGAAACTAGAAAAATATTCCAAATGGAGCTCCAACAGTTTAAAAGGCTCCCAGTGTCATCAGTTTATACCACTATTTCCCCTTCTTCTGCCAACTCTGCATCTTACAACATCTTATTCCGCCTTCTCAGCAGAGCTAATAAAGTCCAACAGCTAGCTTGAGATAATGTTTCCCTCCTCCTGACAATCACCTCTGACATTGTGCTAATGGGGAATTTACTGATTTTAATAGCAGTGGTCAACTGAGTCCCCCGGGGGGGTTAGCAACAAAAGAAGCTGATCAGTGTGGTTCTCATCATAGTGAAGGATAGGGATATCATTAAACCCCACACTTCACATACTGCTTGTACACCCAGTATTAAAAGTGTCTCCTGTGCACACACAGATATACAGCACACATGCACACTTAGCCAGTCATTAATTCTTAATATTCTTAAATTCCTATTTGCAATTAAAGAATGAAAGCACAGAGGACTGTGGCCTCCTGGGAACGAGCGAAACCTTAATTGTACGTGACAACATGTAACGGATACATGGCCTTGTATTATAGCATAATTGGGGATTTCAGAAGGAATAGTCTGCTGTGTGATCTACATTATGCCAACATCAGAAGCAGAGTAACTTGAGCGACACCCCCCACCACACACACACACTTTCTTTTTCTAGAAGGGGAGTGTGTTTACTTGTGTTGTGCTCGAGGAGAATGTTATCACTTTGATGGTTGCCAAGAAAAATAAATCCTCTCTAATTTATGAATATCTCTTATTGAAATGTACTTGAAAGTGGATATTTTCTGATATCAAAGCTACAAAACAATTTGAAATAATTGAGTGCAGTAGGAGAGTCATTTGTAAAATAGTATGCAATACTAGGCATTCAAAAGCATTTCTGGGTGATTGCCTTTAAAAAAATATATAAATAAATAAACCAGCATACGCTTGCACAACTTGCTGTGTTTTGCTGGTTCACTGAGAGGACTTAGTAATTCCCTTCACTGTTTACCAGCATATTTCAGAAAGAATCTAAATGTAGAAGTTGCTCAATTTATAAAAATTTCAGACCTTATTATATAAATGAATAGCTCTTTTTTGGTTTTCAGCTACTTGAAGCTCAAAGAATTTAAAAGGAAAAAAAAAAGTATAAATTGATTCGTCTAAACACGAATGTGCAAAACAGAAATGTACAAGTAATTATTCGCCAATTTATCAGTGTCCTTATATTATTTCCTATACTATCCCAATAATATTTCCCAATGACAAGCGTTTCAAGTTTTTCAAATCCTCTTTCACATTGTTACCATATGGAAGAGGGTTATTTCAATTGTTCTCCCTTTCACACTCTGGATGATCTGGAGATCTGTGGATGGGTGCATGTAAAGCATGAAGTGTTTGTCATCCATTTAGTATAACTCACCGCTTTGGTGCACTGCACATCCTTCCCAAGCAGCCAATTAAGTTCCAGGTTTCCTTCTCCCTGGTAGCAGGACTGCAGGCGCTCCTTAATTCGTGCATTGATGTCACGAATGGTGAAGACGCAGAGCGCTGAGTCATCTGGTGGGCGATGGAACTGCTTCTGGCCCTTAGAGAAGATGGTGAAGAGCACATCATCGTGGGCACTGATATTGAGTGATGCAGCGAGAACACGTCCTGGCTTGCCAAGGTAGGCAGCCTGCAGTAGCCGGTACTCAACACCGCTCTTCACACAGCCAATAGGCAGGGAAACATAGGAGTGGAACTTGGGGTCATCTTTGCAGAGGCGAACAATGCGAGAAGTGTAGAACAGGTCACTGCCGGATCCGCTTGACGACATGCTGTTTTCTGGTGTCTCGGGCTGAACAGTCAGGAAGTAAACAAAGCTGCCGCTTGCAAAGCCGTAAACATAGTAGATGTCAAAGTGAGAGACCAGTGCCAGTGTGTCTGATGGTATCTTTATGAGGGAGGACACAAAATCTGTGTGCAATTCATAGTCAAGCATAGCAGAGGATTCTGGGTCACGGGGCAACTTTCGACTGGAGATTGTAGGAAAGTAGTCCTGTTTGCCATCTACCGCCGTGCCAATAAACAGGGTCCCATCCTGGCCCTGCGAAGGCACAATGACCCCATACATAGTCCCAGTCTGGTTTACACTAGAGAGGTAGTGTTCTTTCTTGTGGGAAGGCTCCACTAAGATAAAGAGGTCATCCAATCTGAGGAGTTTACAAACTCCCTGGTACAGGCTGCCACAGGCCAGCAACCGGTTTTGGGAATAATCAATTAAGAGAAGCTTGTTGACATTGTTGGTTGAGACAAGGGGCTCAGAACAAGGCTGGACAATCAGAGGAGGGTAGCACGCCTTGTTGTCATCCTCTGGGCCTGTGTCATGGGAGACTAGAAGAGTCAGGTTGCCTGAGAGCTTGTACACACGGTTGACTGCTCCAATATACAAAGCGCCTGTGGTTTGGTGAACTGTCAGGTGGTTGAATACCCAGTCCCGACGTTCAGGGTGGAAACTAGTAAAAGTCTGCCCATTGGATAAAGCAGGTATTACTATGAGCCAGAAGCCTAGTAGAGCAGCCATTGGTCCCACTTTAGGGTTAAGTGATAAAGTTCTGCGAAATGCTTGCTGGCCCTCCATGTTTAACAGGCCTGGAAGGAAATCGCTAAGGGAGTTGAGAGAATGGATGTAATGAATACGTGGAGGAGACCTTTGCCTTTGTGTTGCTGAAGGCTATCTTGCAGGTCAAGCTTCACAAGGTTTTTCACATGTTTCTGTAAAAGAAAACAAGAAACAAAGAGAAAAGTTGTAAATTGTCACAGCTGAGTTACATGTCACACGAAGAAGATGCATTTAAGAGTGTTTCAAAGTGAAAAGGAATAAGAGGCTCAAATTTAATAAAGCAATGAGCTGTGGAGAATAGACAATTGGTGGAAACCATTATGGTGCACATTCCAAAGGACAGGGCAGGTTACAGCAACGGAAATTAGCCTGACCTGACTCATGCTAGCGCTGCTGCTGTCACCACACACTGAGTAAGAGGTTTCCAAGAACAGAAAAAAGGCCAAAACAGGCATTGCTCGCTAAAAGCAAGGTCACTGTGTTGTGAGACTGACTGTCTTTTTCTTCCAAAACAACGTGACACTTCAGTGAAGCTAACCTTTTACACATGTATTATATTCACTTATTTTATTAGAAATGGTTTAGAATATTGTCATAATTAGCATCTGTATTTCTGAGTTATTGTCCATAACCCTTTATGAGGATTTTAGTAGCTGAAACTTTGCCCAGGGCAGATCTAGGCAGTTTATCTTTAAATCAAAGTGAATAATTGTGTCCAGTTTGGACAAAATTCCAAATACCTTTCCAAAGATATTCCATTCACAAATGGGATGGGCATAACATCACAGTGGCCTTGACTACTGACCACCAAGATCTAATCAGTTCATTCCTGAGTGCAAGTGAATATTTGGGGCAGATTTAAGGAATATTTCATTCAGAAAATACATTAATCTGTAGCGACCTAATGTTTGATCTTTGACCATCAACGTCTAATGACGCCATCTCGATGATAGGGCTTACCTACAAAGGAAAACCTAAAACACATCTTCAGTATTAGAGATCATGCCATACCAGAAACATTAGCACACAGCTTAACGTTGTGTGCTTCGTTATCCTTAAAACATCATTCTCTTCTTTTTATTATTATACTGACCCCATCCTCACGATTTCTTTAAACACATCCCCTATCAGTTGCCCATTTTGATATACTATATTAGTCAAAATGTATCACGCTACAATTAATGCAACCATGCTCTGCCTGGGCTGTAAAGATCTCTCTCCATGTGCTTTAAAACCAAGCAGTCTGTCCCCAGGAGTTAATTATCTCATCCATTGGAAAAGACGGCCTGGATCTCATTACTGGAACAAACTGAGAACAAATTGGAAGCCACTTGCACACACCCCTACTCTTGCTCTTTAAGGGGCTCATTTTTATAGACTCTGAATCTATTAATTATTCTTTTATACAATTTATTTATTTATTCATTGTTTATAAATCAAGTTCCTCTAATACTGGTGTGCTCAGATCACAACTGATTAATTTAAAGGTGATTTTTGTGCTGCCTATAATTAATCCCTCCACTGTAATAGATATATACAAAACATCCTCATGCAAAGATTAACTAATAGAACATCTGATGTATGTATGAGTGTGTCTCATTCCCCAAGTATTATCGGTGTACTCTATCAGAACCAAGTAGTGTGAGGGGCTAACAAGTGGAGAGAATGGCAGTGCATCCTAAAATCAAGTACGATTAGGCGTAGCGATCCAACAAGGGTAATTACTATGGCGCTGGAGGTGGTAAGCTGGGGAGTGACATGGGGACGCCGGGGGCTTGAATGTGTCAGAGACGGCCCTACGTCGTTTGTCACGCTCCAGATTTGCATTTCCAGCAGCGAGGGCACAGAGAATCAAGGGTGAAAAGATGTGGCCTGAATAATCAGTAACTGCACCTTGAATTAACAAGCAACTGAAAAGGGGAGGGAACATTGTATGGGAAGATACTGAATAGCCAGCTTACATTGTGACGTGTTCAAGGCAGGTTTGATTTGCAGCAGTAATTTAGGGGTCCCTTTGAGCCGTGTCAGCCCTTTCATAGACCTCAATCCAAATCCGTTAATGGCCATCTTAGGGTCCCTCCCTACTCCTTGTGATCGAGTATACTACACAGCACCATCTTAAATATAACCCTAAGGAAGCATATTGATCTATGTGTCCAGAAACACAGGTCCTAAAGCCCAGTCAACCTGTTCTTGGTGTGTGTGCACAGGCAGAGGCGTGGGAGATGCGCTGTCCCAAAAGCACTTTATTAGCATGGTCATAAAAGTGCCAGTGACTCTAAAAAACAGCAAGGGTCAGACCCCCACCTTCACTTTCAGTTGCCTGCATGCTGCCATGCTCCTTTGTTTGAGTTTGTACATGGTAGATTTGCAAAGTGGATCCCTTTGGTGGCATAATCAGTTTCCTGCTGAGCTAGCTTTTCGCTCAAGCCCCAAAGCCTTTTGCCCTTTAGATCTTACGCTCCACCTCCACGCTTTAATCGTATGTATATACAATGTTTTAAGGCCATCCATCTTTTCTCCTTCTACTTTTTATTTTTCCTACGTTTCCTCAGTTGTCAGGAGTAAAATTATGCATCAGTCTCTTATGTTGTGGCAACAGCTGCCCATGCAAAGAAAAAGAGTGACTGAATGGTGTAAATAAAAACCTCCACAAAAAGGTTATCCCCTCATATTGCTTTCAATAACACAGGGAATGAAGTCTTTGTTCAAGCTGATTGCATGACCACCTCTTTGTTGCACTTGACATAGCACTCCACAGTAGTATGCAGCTGAAGACTTTAAAAGAATACGAACAAAACTCGATCCCCCAGCGTGCTCTTTAGTTCAAAGCCATATCTTTCTTTTGTTTGTGAGAAGTCAGAATTAAGTAAAAGAAAATTAACATATAAATGCAACCAGAAATTATTCATACTTAAACATAGTTAACTAGTGACCTGGAAAAAGAAGAGGGCATGACTATGTTGACATTGAATTACAGGTAAACTAGAATATAGGCACATTTTCAGCTAGTAGTTCTGAATAAAAATTCAGACTTTCACTACATGAGATTTTTGCCATTAATGCTGAGGCACGGATGACAATCGACTTTTTATTTGTCTTTTAAACATAGGGTGAGCGGATGAACCAAAAAAGTCTTGTTCCTGAAATAAATTCAGTGTGCAGATGTTTCACAATTGTAGCCGTGGCACAGAAAGAATGATAGACTGCCATGATGACAAAACTGTCAGCGTCAAATAAGAATATAAAATGGAAAAAAATTATATAACAAAACAAAATTCTTTATGGTCATTCTCAGTAGATTTCCATTTTAAGACTCACACTCATATGACAGTCTCTTTGGCAGACGTAGAAGGCAAAGAAAGAAAATCTTCATGTCAAGAGAGACGGAAGAGAACTCACGTTCCCGCACAAACGCAAGCTGTGATCATGGCTTGGAGAAAAGACAGTTTTTGCAAAACTTCCCATTCATAATGAATAGTCAGGCACACAAAACACTGTGTTGGCACACTCAGCCAGGCTGCTTCAGAGTGCTTGTTAAACAAACTGGTCCCACTGGCTGCATGTGCACTGTCACTGTGACTGGTTGTGGGTCTCTTGCTGAAATGCTGGTGATTTCCCTAGCCACTGGGCATGATGCTGTGACAATGCCAACTGTGGCCAAAAGAGCTGGATTGTAGCACTTTAAAAAGATGCAAAAGAGCGACATTAGGTACAGGACAAGGATAAAGGAGTGGCGAAATGCAAAACGAGAGCTAAGTAAACCCTCAATGATGGTTGGGAAGAAACAGCCTGAGGGTAGTCCAGCAACTAGCAAAATGGCACAGGAGAGAAGGAATTTGTCTTTGAAGCAGGAGCAGCCCTAAAGCTCCATCACCCTCAAATAGGCAGCAGGTCTTCTGCTTTTGTGCTTTCCCCCAGTTTATTCTCTCCACATCCTAAGCTTCTTAACACTCTAGCCAAATTTGCTTCATCTGTTAAATTCATATTTACAGCAATTGTACTGCAGAAGATAAAGAATGTAAACCAAATCCATTTATGGTGCTGAATCCATTGTTGTTGAATTAAAAAAAAAAAAAAAGGAAATGGGAGATTGTAATTTCATGCCTTGGATTAATGTGTTATTCCCTCAATGATTAATGTAAAGCATGAAATTTGAAAGCTTAAGTGAAAGTGATATGCTTCGAATCAAAGAGACAATTTGGAACAAACCTTCCTCAACTTTCTAGTTAGGAAAAGTACAGTTAAGGGTTTAAAAATATGTTGGATTTTTTTTATTCATTTCCTGGTAAACTTTTCAGTGGATGTGGCAATTTGGACAGTAAAAATAAAAAGTTTTATATTCCCCAAAGGGAGATCTCCTTCTATAGGAACCGATAAAAAGTATTAGCAGTAGAGGTTTGTCTATTAGTCTTCTCTCTTTTCTGCTATCAGGAAAAGAAATGAGAGGCCTCGTTAGTATCTTATGTTGTTGAGCTGGAGTTATATTCATACATTCTTCTGTGACAATAGGAAATGAATTTCTCTGTTCCAGTGCCATTACGATCTGTCAGCTTCCAGGAAAACTATTCTCCAGTCATCCATCCTTCCAGCCACTGCAAGGAAACATAGCATTTTCTCCTGCTACGACCCAATAGCAACAGAAAGGGAAAACACCCTCAGAAACCACAAGCCCTCCAGTAACTGTCATTTAATTCTGTCTGGTTTCCTGTGCTGTGATGTTGGACGTGGTTGGTTATTCCCAATATTTTCTTGTGTAACGATTCAAAATTCCACCATAAAGATAAACCCTAATAACCAGGAGGAAATTACTGTCATTAAAGCCTTCCTCATAACATAAAAAATAGTTCAGAGCCGCTAAATTAAAACCATCACTGTGTAAATGTTTTAATTTGACCTTTTTATAAGCCATTTAGTTGTTGTTTGTCTTTTGACATGATATGTGTGAGGCTCTGAGCTATGGCTGAAAGAGCTGCAATTTAGCGATGCATAGTAAATTAATGCACAGTTGCTCACAATTAAGCATGAGCTCTCTGGGCACTCTGACAGAGCACTTTGCATCCAGTATTTAATAGCACTATCTTTGTTAGTGACCCATATCAGTGCACTTGCTCATGAGCATCTGAGTTTAGAGGTGTACAGAGAGGCCTTG